AGAGCATTAACCTAAAAAACAAGTTTACTGAAGCAATGTGAAGCCCCTTTCAATCAATTCTAATACTCCCTATGTAAAATTTCAGACATCCGTTCTTATTAAGCAACCGTAAAATAATTTATCTCACAAAATAATAGGTAAACCAGTAAAATCAATATTATACATATATATATAATCCTTTTATTAAATTCTGTGGAAAAACTTACTTCAAATTCTGAAGTCTGTGTGGTATATAGACATACACACACCCCTACACACACACAGATCTGTTTTAGAACCATAACTACTAGCATATTAATACTATCATTCTATTACCATTATTTTAAATCTATAAATTCCAATAACTTTAAAATCACTTAAATAAAAGGACATACCTCTATGTTCCAGTAATATAGTATAAAGTCAATAATATTTGCAATGTTGATCAAACTATGATTTTTAAAAACACCTTAAGTTACTTTATAACACAAGCACTGTTATAACACAACTGACACCAATAAAAGTTAAGTATTTCTAAACAAAAAATATGGTAAAAGCTTCCAAATACTTCAGAAATGAAAAAAAGAAACATTTTATGTTCTAAGGATATACTGTTTCAAATCCTCACCTTCACCCCTTTTTCAACCATTAGTTAAGGACCACAGTATGGCTAAAATTTTTTAAATGGTAAAGCTTAATGTGGAAAACACACATGTGTGACATATCACCATTCAATAAACCATCACCACCCAATAAACCATCACAAAAACACCACACTGAGTAACATGTGGAATAAACAGTACAACTAAGAGGTTCCCAGATGACTCCCTCATACTTGGTAGATGATCCCCCACACATACAATCCATCTATTGAACAGAGAGGTAATTCATTCCTTTTCTCCCACAAACTAAAATACAAAGTTCAAATCAGGATGTTCAAAACCAACAAAATGAGGTCCTCAAATTAGGTAAGAGAGACGTACAATTATAAAAACTGCAAAATACCCATCCAACCCTAATTATATTAAGTTAAGGAAACTCTAAATATAGATGACATGCAATGTAATCATACATTTTTTTAATCGGATGATCCACTTCAAACTCATAAGATATCCCACATGAGTTACAAATGCACAGTTACATGAAAATTGAAGCATTTCCTCCTCTCTAAAATGAATACAACAAAATAAAACAAAAAAGCAAATATTATGATAAAGACTATCATACAAATCTAAAGACTTAAACATAATCAGGAAGGGAAAAAGTATGTTCCTTTGCAGAAGTAGCTTAGGAACAACTGAGTACAGAAAAAGAAAAGAACAGAACAGTTCCAGCACTACACTACTACCTTCATTCTCTTTAACTCCTAAATGTTAGTGGTCTATCTTTGACCACTATCTATCTAGCTTCCCCCGTTATACCCAGCCTGGGCACTTTAATTCACACCTTTGGACCATCAATTACAAATAATGAATTCCAAATCTCTATCTCCAGCCACAATCTGTCTCCTGAGTATCAGAGTAAATATATCTCAAAACATCTCCACTTGACTGTCCCACCAGAATTTTTAACACAAAAATGTACCATACTGAACTCATCCCCCACCTCCTCCTCCTATATACTTATTCTGGTTATTGGTATCGTATTCCAAAACTTGAGAGTTATCCATTCTATGGCCTCCCCTCTAATTAATCCTGTATCAGTCACCAAGTCAAATCCCATTCTACCTTAAAAAGGGTAACGCAAAAACCCATACTCTCCATCCTCAACATCTCTGTCTTGGTTCAGGCACATACATATTTGGGATTACTACATCTCTCCTAACAGTTCTCCCTACCTTCAATCTGCCTCATTCTTCAATCATTCCTTTCTATTGCTGTTAAAGTGATCTTTCTAGAATATAATTTGAATCATTTTCACCACTGCTTAAAATCTTTCAATGATTCAAAATAAAGACCTAAAATCCTTAACAGAATATCCTGTCTCTTGTCACCTCTTCAGCTTTATCTCTTATCTCCCATGTAATACACTAAATTCTAAACACATCACCGCAAATCCTGGAAAAAGTCATACTGTTTCTTACCTCAATAACTCTGCATAGGTTATTCCCTCTTTCTAGAGAGTCTTTTTCTTGACAAGGTAACTCTGACCTGCTCAAACCTCAGCTCAGACATTACATGTGGCCTCAGCTTCCTCCATTCCCTCCTTGCCCCTATAGCACTTGAGAGACACCCTTTCATACTATAATCGTCTATTATACTCTAAACTTGTACACCATAAAAGTAAAATACATATATTATTCATTGTGTGTCCTACAATGCCTAGCACTTTGCCTGGCAATAAGTGATCAATAACTATTTAAAGAATGTTTAAGCATTTTGCTTTTTCCAGAAACTTCCACTATAAACCTCCCCCAAGAGACACAGAACAAAGCAGCTACTTAAGGAAAACAATGGAAACCAGGCAAGAAAGCAACAAACGTAAATAAATGGGGCAAAAAAAATGAAAAATTAAACACACGGAGTCTTTTCAAAGTGGCTCCTAAGGAGCTGTGTTTCGTCTCACATTCTAACACGAAGGTCTTTTACCTGCTATTTAATTTTCAACGTTTATTCTAATTTCCCAGAAAATAGTGGTAAGAAGTTCTTCTCTCCACAACTGGGTCGGCACAGAAAGAAAAATGGAAAGCATTACCTAAAACAGCTATTCTTCAAAACTGAGCATAGTCAGAACTTTAAAAGTGCCATAATAAGTAAGACCCCCTGATCTCCCCTGCCCCACTTTCCCTCTTTTTTTTTTTTTTTTTTTTTTTTGCGGTACGCGGGCCTCTCACTGTTGTGGCCTCTCCGGTTGTGGAGCACAGGCTCCGGACGCGCAGGCTCAGCGGCCATGGCTCACGGGCCCAGCTGCTCTGCGGCATGTGGGATCTTCCCGGACCGGGGCACGAACCCATGTCCCCTGCCTCAGCAGGCGGACTCTCAACCACTGCGCCACCAGGGAAGCCCCCCAATTCCACTTTTAACAGTTGTCCCCTAAAAGGCTTGGGAATAAGATTACAAGGGGTATTTTACTAACCAGTTATCAAACATCTCTCCCTGAACTTAACATTTTTTCTCTATGGTAAGGAATTATACAAATTCACTATTTACTCTGTAAATATGCATTTACATTTTTATCCTTAAGATAAAATGAAATACTTTCCTCTTACCTTCCCCCAAAGGTCCTTGAACAGAAATTTCCCCCGATGAATTTGCTCTAATATTTGCCAGTTTTCTGTGATCAGAAGGGAATAGATGAAAGGGAGTAGGGAACTCTCCTCCCAATACTGAGTCCTCTCATATTCCTGACCCTTCCCTTCTCTTCTCCAGTGGTATCCATACCCAACTTTGCCTTTTAAAGTAAAGCAAATTCAAGTTCATAAGCAATTTTAGAAGTGTGTGAAAGAATCTTAGAGACCAAATGCCACATAGCACTAGGAGAGTGTTTTGGTTTTTTTGTGGGTTTGTTTTTTTTTTAAGCTGAACTCCTGACACCAAGTCTCCTCAGTTGATCAACACATTTTTTTTAAAAACCAGTTTTTTAAAAATGTCTCTTTCCTCTAGCCTATTACCAATTTATTCTGGGTTCCTACTCTTTCCCTAAAAAGCTTCCTGTCCTGCCACAAACTGACTTGGCTTAAAAGATGTCACTGACATTTACATACACTAATTTAGAGGTGCATATTGTAAATACTGTTATGGTTTTACAGATAAGAAAATAAGACTAGGAAAAGTGACCTGACATTTAATAAATGCCGGTACCTGAATTTGAATCCAGTTCTTCTGGCTTCAAGACCAAGTTACCATATTAAAAGAGAGCAGTCTGCAGCAGTCTGCATTTTAAGATTCAACTTCCCTGGCTCTAGGCAGCCTCACTACATCTAATACACATAATTTTTAGGCAAGTTCTAAATTTCACCGTTGTCCTAAATGTCCCTCTTGCAAGCGTACATGAGTCTACAATAAAAAATTCTGCAATTCAGTGAAAAAGTTCAGTGTTCACCCTAATGTTCACCCTGTGTTCACCCTTTATGATTTTTTTTAAAAAAACAGACTTCAATAATCTCTATAGACATCAACTTTTGAGGCTGAAGAATTGCTTACCTCAGTTCTTAAACCAACACTGCTTCATGATTTCAAATACCTGTCGCTCTAATTGCCAATTCCATTCATTTCTTTATATTTGCAAATAACTAGGGGCAGTGCTGTATGTCTCCCAACCCCACGAAACACTCTAAATGAAACACTCCGAATATCATTTGACTTCACTCAAAAAAGGGAGGGAAAAATCAAAGGGTTAATCCCTAATGCATGTGTCTGATTAAGATTTAGTGCAATGATGCAGAGCAATTCAACAGAATAACGTGACTTGAAACTACGAAGAAACCAACTTTCACCTGACCTACCTCTGACCAGTATTTTTGCCCACCGCTTGTAATTACCCCCAGTCTTATCCGATTTCTGTTATCAGTCAACTGAGAATATTAAGACCCAACAAAGAGCACTGGGATTTTAAAAATAGTAATTATAGAAACAAGCCTTTAAAACTCTGAAAACTAGTAACGAGAAAAACATTAATTTATCAATAGGCGCTTGCTACGTGCAAGGCACTGGAGGAGACAAAAAAGCTGCCAAACGGTAAGCTCTTTAAACACTTGACGGTGACTTATTCAGTTTTGTAACCTCCATCCTCACCCCTCCAGCGCCTGGCAAAACTTGAACTGAACTGGACACGCTGTTGTAACGGGATGTGCTCCAGCGAGGAACCTGTGGGATAAACAGACCAGCTTGGGACGTAACTTTAGGAAGTATTGTTTGAACGGCTTTACGCTGTTTAATTCAAACGGAACAGGCTGCCGCTGTGTTCGAGCTCGTGAGGCCCGGGGAAACCAGCCGGGTCAGGCGGCCTCTCCCAGAGACAAACCGGGACACCGCTGAGGGACCTCAAAGATCTGGGGCGAAGAAAAGGGGGCAGTTACTTGCCTCCCATTCCTGCAAGAATCGCTCGGCCTCGTCAGAACCAACGGTCTTATGTCTCCTAAATTCGTCCTTCACGTACTGGTCACCAAGGGCTTTGAGGTCTGGGGGCAGAGCCCGGTGCAGCAGCAAAATGCGCCGATACAAGGCCCGGACACGCGAGACGTGCCGAACAGGCATAACTCCAAGCGTGGACCACAGGCCGCGCCTGCGCAGAGAGACCGCGCGCGCCTGCCTCTCCTTACAAGCTGAGTATAAGTAACGCAAATACAAGCGGAAGAGGGCGCGCGACTTGCATCCGGTTGGGTCCGGCCTAATATCAGGACCTTCCGGAAACGCGAGGAGCAGCGGCGGGCAGAAATGGGCCGGTCCTTCTCTGAAAGGGGCGTAGCTTTCGTGGAGCGCTAGCGCAGCGACTACCTAGGGGCTGCGTCTGGGGCGGAGCGGTCGTCCACCAGGAGTCTGGCTTTGCTGCTTGTTCCCACTCCGTTACACCCCATCATCTTTTCCATTCATCTTACCCCTTTTCCTCCTGATAAAGGCTTAAGAAAGGCTTCGTCAAAATCAGACTCCTCCAGGAAGCCTTCCATGGTTGGCTAAAGACACTTCAGATGTCTTTGCAGTGTTCCTGCGTTCTGCGAGAGGGATCGGAATGGGATTAATCTCTCCATTCACGAGCCCACCCACCCACGTACCTTGCACAGGGCTGTACTCCTAATTTGTACCCTGAAGGCGTGGCCTGTTTCATGTAACTCAAGTGAGACCTGAGCCAGCAGGTTTCAATCCTTAGCTCGTGTCAAGTTGGCTTTAGAAGAATAATTAGAGAACATTTTAAATGTATTGTGTCCAAGGCCAAGATCCAGGAGATTCTGATTAAATAGTCTGAGATGAAAACGTAGAATCAGAACGTTCACAAATCTTCACCTTTTACAACGGTGATACTGAGAGTGTGACCAATCAAAGCTGACAGCAGTTTAGCCTCGTTCTTTCTGTCCCATCACACCTTTGGACCTTCAACAAATCCTGATGGCTCCACCAACAAAATGTATGCAGAATTCGATCATTTCTCACTACTCCCTATTCCACAATGGTCTCTCTTTACCGGATGCTGTAGTCACTTTTTGTGTTTCTGCTTCTGCCATGATCAACTTTGATCATGATCCACCTAAACTGTAACAGCCTCTGCTACTGGTAGTATCTGGCTGCCTTAGAAATCCTTGCTGGTTCCCATCACTCTGACCACACCTTTTTACATAGCTTTTTATTAAATTATTAATAGGTTTAAAAAAAAAAAAACAGGGCTTCCCTGGTGGCGCAGTGGTTGAGAGTCCGCCTGCCGATGCAGGGGACACGGGTTCGTGCCCCGGTCCAGGAAGATCCCACATGCCGCAGAGCGGCTGGGCCCGTGAGCCATGGCCGCTGAGCCTGCGCGTCCGGAGCCTGCGCTCCGCAACGGGAGAGGCCACGACAGTGAGAGGCCCGCGTACCGAAAAAAAAAAAAAAAAAAAAAAAAAAAAAAAATGTCACTACTCTGCTCTCCAAAATCCTCCAGTGGCTTCTCATTAGAGTAAAACGCACAGCCTCTCCACTTCTTAGCTGTCTAAATTTTCTCCTACTGCTCTTTCCCTAGTTGGCCGATTCCAGCCACACTGGTCTTCAAAGCCCCTAATTCATCTTTGAACAGGCCAGGCACTCTCCCAACTGAGGACCTTGGTATTTGCTCTTCCATCTGCTTGGAATGTTCTGCTTCAGGTATCTTTCTTGGCTAACACCCTTATTTCACTCAGCTCATTATTTCAGGTCTCTTTCTGATTAAGATCCTCCCTGGCAAGCATATTTGATATTGCTACAACATCATGCTAAGAACTCCCTAAGCCCCCTCTCTGCTTTATTTTTCTCTGTAACACATACATATTTTACTTGTTTGCCTATTGCTTGCCCCCACTAGATTACAAATTCCCGGAGGGCAGGGATTTTGTGATTTTAAGGGTGTCAAGTGATTTATATGACCTGCTGGTGATGAAAGGGCAAGAATGTGGGAAAATTTATGTGATTCCCTCCGAGACCCCAGATTTTTGTTTATGCAAAGACTTCTTGAAAGACAAAAAGACACACACCCCTCTACCAAGGGCAGGGACTTAACTCATTTTAGTATTCTTTTCAGGGTCCACCGCAGTGCCTTACAAATAGTAAGCACTCTAATATTCATTACCTTGAATGGACTCTTTTCCTTTTGCTGAAATTGTAGAAAAATATTTGTTTAAAAGAACACAGAACATTTTTTTAAATGGATTTAATTTGGTTTTTTGACAAACCACATTCATGGCAAGGATTGAATGGCAGCATGGTTATTTTACTTCAGGAAATCTTTTTCTAACCATACTTCATCTCAATATCCCTGTAAATTAAAAATTAATTTCTTGTTCCAGTTTATTTTTTCTGGTTTCCTTTGGGGTTAAAGTACATGTATAATAAATGCTTCTTTTAGAGCCAAAGCTCTTATAAAAATGTGGGAAAAAATTCTGCCGGTAAATTAATAAAACATAATAAAAGAATTAATTCAGCATAAAGGGAGCAGAAAAGGTCCATAAAGCTTTGGGTAATCAATGCTCAAAAATGACAAATGATGGGTAAGAGAAAAGCCAAGACATAATGGTTAGAGGAGAGGAATCAAGAATAACAGTGAGAATAATGGTAGATGACCTTTATTTTTTTACAGTGGGCTGGACAATGAGTTATGTTTTGAGGACAAAATTTTCTGTTTCTTTGACCTACCAATTTAGGCTGACCAGTTTTCCTCTTGTGGTCAAAATAGCCATGAACTGAAAATAAGATCTGAGTTCTATTCCTGGCCACTAATCCAGATCAGTACACTTCATGCAGGCCTTTCCTTTATCCTTCCTCCATGTAATTCGTTTTCATGTGTTATTCAGCAAGTCACTCAACCAATCTGCACCTCGATTTTCTCACATGTCAAATAAACTGGGTTAGGTAATTCTCAGTACCTTTCAACTCTGCTAATCATGATTTGTCCCCAGTCCCCTCCAAAATTTTTTGTAAAAGGAGCAGCAGATATGTACCCACTCTGAAATAATTGCTTTGAAAAAATTTTTGTTTAAGAAGGGGAAACTCCTCAAAATTTGAATCAGAGAGGTCTCCATGTTTTCCTTTATGGAAGTGCAATTGACAAAGAAAAATCAGGAGGGAAAATTACTTTTGGAAATGCATTTTACTTTACTCATATTGAGTTTGCAGGGACAGCCTATGTTAAATGGTGCATTGAACAGGTTGCCTAATAGTAGAAGTGCTGTTGGTCTAAGTCAGTGGTTTTCAACTTTGGCTGTATATTACAATCACCTGGGAAACTGGTTTAAAAAAACTGATAAGGCCCACTCCAAACCACTTGAATCAGCATCTTTGCGAGTGGGGCGAGGCATGGCTATTGCTTAGAAACCCCTCCAAGTGATTCTAATGTGCAGCCAGGATTGATAACCAATGGTCTAAGTTTCCAACTTGGAAACACCTGGGTTCCAGGAATAGTACCCAAGTTACTGACACTGTTAAAAACTGATTACTAAATGTCCAGTGCTTCAATATTAGAGTGTTCCTGCAACAAAGGGGATAAAGATTTTGATATAGCTAAAAATATTTTAAATATAAAAGTAAAATGGGGGGATAAATAGGGAGATTGGGGTTGAAATGTACACACTACTATACATAAAATAAGTAACTAATAAGGACCTACTGTACAGCACAGGGAACTCTACTCAGTACTCCGTAATGACCTATATGGGAAAAGAATCTAAAAAAAGAGTGGATGTGTGTATATGTATAACTGATTCACTTTGCTGTACACCTGAAACTAACACAGCATTGTAAATTAACTACACTGCAATAAAAATTTTAAAAAACAATCAAAAAGAAAGAAAAAAAAGTAAAACATCTCTGAGAAAGAGGATGTAAGAGTGAAAAATAAGTTATATAACTCCAGGTTATATGCACAATTATCAACAGGAGGTGATTAATAACTTAAGGGCTATCTGAAGAGCTCACTCTAGAATCATCCCACTTCCCACATCCACAGCACCACCGTGTCTCCCAGAGGACATGCTTTAAGCTTTCCAAATAAGTAATGAACATTTAGAACACAGCTTACTTATGCAAACTTGGCACTCAATAAAAATCCACAAAATCTCTATCATCTGTACTCTCCTCCAACCCAAGCCTTCCACTAGAGCTCTTGATTGTATCCCAACTCTTCTGAGAAGTAGCTTCATAATTATCCCCTCATTCTTTCTCTCACTGGCATCTTCAATTATTCTCTTCATAAGACTAGTCCATTCAGCTCATAAACATTCACAAGAACACTTCACATTAAAAAAAAAAATCCCTCCATTCTACCTCCCCCTCAAACTACCATCCTATCACCCTGCTTCCTTCATTGGCAAACTTGAAACAAATATTTCTCCATTTCCATTCTCATTCCCTGCTTAATCCCTTTTAATCTATTGTCCCACTACTCCTCTAAAATCACTTTCTTCAAATTCCCTAGTTACTTGCTTCTGTTCACACATCTACTCTTCCCTGACCTTCTAGAAATCTTTCCATCTTTCGGCTTCCATATGTTTGTACTATCCAGGTGATCCACCTCTAGGGCCCCACTGTCTCTGTGTCCTTAGCTAGCTGCAGTTCTTCCTGCCTCCAAATGAGAATGCATTAGTCCAAACAAACATCAGTGTCAGTGCTCTTGTCCTGGCCAGCTGTCCTCAGCAATTGGTGATGCTCTGCTGCCCCCACCTGGCCAACCCCATTCTAACCATTTTGGAGGCCCTCGCTGGACCCTTACCTGGAAAGGGTAAGGACATCTTAACCAACTCTCACACCCACCCCGACCTCTCTACAGTTTCAACCTTCCTTGCTAAGCACTGGATAAATTAAAATTGGATATCCTGTCATTCCTTCAGAGTCATGTCGCAAATTAAACTCATCATTTTTCTCCAAAGACCTTTCTCTCGCCACCGTTCTTAAATTTACCTAGGCTCAAGACTTAAATTCTGGGGCTTCCCTGGTGGCGCAGTGGTTGAGAGTGTGCCTGCTGATGCAGGGGACACGGGTTCGTGCCCCGGTCCGGGAAGATCCCACATGCCGCGGAGCGGCTGGGCCCGTAAGCCATGGCCGCTGAGCCTGCGCGTCCGGAGCCTGCGCGTCCGGAGCCTGCGCGTCCGGAGCCTGTGCTCCGCAACGGGAGAGG